ACGTCCACCCCCCACAACAAAAAAAAATTTTTTTTTTTTTTTTCACCCAACACATTAAAAAAAACCAAAAAACCAAAACCCAAACCAAAACCAACACCAAAACCAAAACCCACCACCCCCCCCCCCCCCCCACACCCACACACACCCACACACACACTAACGCGATGGACGATGGCGTGGGAGTGGCAAAAGTCAACGCCGGAGAGAAGCATGGACATGTAGCGCTTGACGTGTGGAGCGGAGAGCGGAAGGTTCTGCCCTTGAAGGACACGGGCGAGATCGCTGGCCATGTACTCGAAGCACAGCATGATGCCCATGCCGGACGGAAACACGTCGTGCAGCGTGACGACGTTCTTGTGCGTGAGCTGGCACAGGGCGCGGATCTCGCGGATGACCTGGGTTGGGATGCCATCGTCCAGGCGGGCCAGCGTCACCTTCTTCAACGCCACGCGCTGCCCGCTTGCCAGGTGGACGCCAAGAAACACAACCCCGTGGGCACCTTCCCCAACGCGCCGTTCAATCCGATAGTTGTCCATCCCGTACCATCCATCACCACAACAGCAACAGCTGTTGTTCTGTTTTGTTTGTGCGTTGTCAGCGTTGTTTTTCTAATTTTTTACACCATCGCGGATGATTCGATGCGCCATTAACATCGCTTACACACGAGAACAAGAACAAGAACCAGTGTTGTTGGCGAACCACGACCTCACACGCAGACACACCACCGTGCATCCATCCATCCATCCATCCGTCCATCCGTCCATCCATCGTGCATCCATCCATCTACATAACACCACGAGAGCACCGACATCATGGATGGTGGAGCGAGTCAGAAGCAGCAGGAGGAGAAGGCCAAGGCTGCCGCGCCCGTGGGTGCTGGCGGGCAGCGTGAATCAGCAGCAGCAGCAGCAAAAAAGGGGAAGGGCGGTGATGAGAAGCCCAGGGAGGCCAAGAAGGCACAGAAGCAGGAGCAGGGAGGCAACAAAGGAGGGAAGAAGCAGCAAAAGGGAAAGCAAGGAAGGAAGGGCGATGGAAACAGCGGTGACGGCGGTCACCAGGGCGCCGGCAAAGGCGCAGCAAAACAGAAGAAGGCAGGCAACAAGCACAAGAAGGTTCAAAGTCAACATGCAACGCGCAAGTGTATCCAGCACCTGCGTGTGCATGTGTGCATGTATCTGTATGTATTTGTATGTATTTGTGCATGTGTGTGTATGTATTTGTGTATGTGTGTATGTATTTTTGCATGTGTGTGGATGGCCATCTCTCTCTCTTTTCTCTCTGTCTTTGTCTCAGACACATACACGCACACACACACACACAACGCACGCACGCACACACACACACACAACGCACGCACGCACACACACACACACAACGTACGCACGCACACACACACACACACGTACACAACACGCTCTTCCCCGCACATGATCGTCTTCTCACACGTTCCTCCATCTTCCACCCATCCTCACACCACCACCAACACGCCTTTCTCGTGCGCAGGCTGCGAAAAAGAAGGGCCCCGTGATCAAGCGCCAGGTTGACCTGTTCTCCCATCTCAAGCAGCCCGACCACGCGCATCCGCTTTCACATCACAGCAAGTGAGCAGCAGTCTGGTTTGCCACACTTCACCCCACTTTGCTTTATCCTGAGCTGAGAACATGGCCCCACAACCCTCACGCCTGTCGTCTGTTTGTGGGGGTTTGCAGCCGCGAGCAACGCAAGCTGCCCGAGCCCATCCTGGAGATTGGCGTGCGCATGGCCCGTGAGCAGGTCACCGACCCCGACGAGCGCTGCATCCTCCTCCTCCTCGCCCTCAAGGTGCGGCTCCCTTGCAGTGGGACAACACCACACACACACACACACATACAGTGGAACAATTGCCCTTTGTTTTGATATGGGCGGCCAATGCGTCTTTGTGCTCTGGCAACGGCACCCCCCCCCCACACACACTCACACACACACCCACTCACTCACTCACTCACACACACGCACACTCACTCACACACACGCACACTCACTCACACACACGCACACTCACTCACTCACACA